TTACCTTCGACGTCGATCATCTTCAGGTGCCTGTAGAAACCCGCCTGATCCCCCTCGCGGCTCTTCTTCTCGAGCTGCCGTACATAGCCCTCGAAGAACGTTTCCAGTGCTCTCCACCTCGCGATGCTGCCATTCTTCCGCGCCGCCTTGAGCATCGCCTTCAGGGTCGCCTCGCAGGCGCTGTTCTTTGAGGCCCCACGCAGTTGCTGCTGGGCCGCCTTAATCTCCTTCGACGCTTCGGAGATCTCGTGCTGCGCTTCGCTCGTGTACCAGCCTCTCTGCCCTCGTGCGCACCTCGCCAGCGGCGCGGTCTCAGCAGCGGCCGACATCACCGTAGCCGTCAGCTCGGCGGCGGTCTCTCCCGTTGGCCGCCTGAGCGCCGTGGGCGGAGGGCGGCTGGAGGCCCTGTTTTGGAAGGCGTCCCGTAGGTGTTTGTCCTTCCTCAACCGCTCGAGGTCGATACGGATCCGGCTGCTTCCGCTGTTCCCCCGCACTCGTCGGTTGGGTGCGACACGGGGGGGGAGGCGGACAGTCGTAAGCATGAGGTTGTGGTCAGAGTCTTTGAAGTCGACACGTTTGACGGAGACATTGCGCACGAAACGCCGGTCCGCCTGACGCATGAGGATGAAGTCGAGGCGGTACTTCTCCTTCCCCTTGTTGGAGCTCTGGAATGTGTGCTGCACTCCACCTTTCGGTTTCCGGAAGTAGGTGTTGGTCAGGGAGAGTTGGTTGCCTGATGCCAGTCCAAGGAGTCGCTCCCCGTTGTTGTTCATAATGTCGCGTCCGTACGCGCCCATAATCTTGGCATCGCAGCACCCGTCTCGCCTCCTACCAGTGCGTTCGTTGGCGTCCATTAGCACCACGAGATGGTCACGGCTGTGAACCTCCCGGATCGCTCCGTCGAGAGCAGTCCGGAGGAGTCCTTGGCGTTAACATCACCGCCCGCGATGGTGCGGACAGTTTCCGTGGGGGCGTACCCCACCACGAAAGTTACTCCGCAGGTGCGGCCAATTTGTAGACGCACCTTCATCAGCCTCGGGCGATTGCACTCCACCGTCCTACCTTCCTCGCCCACACTCTCCCACATGGCCTCCTCAATCGCTATGCCCACACCGTGTACGCCCCCCTTGTCCTTGGTGCCAGCACGGGCGCCACTTCAGATGATCACGTACCTGTCGTGTGCAATTGAACCTTGCCCCTCTCGTCGGGTCTCCTGAAGTCCTATCACATCACAGCCGGTCGCCGAACAAATCTGCATGACCGTCATCACTTTGTGACCGATGGGGTTCCTACCGCTGTAGGCGAGCGTGCGTACGTTGAACGTGCCGAACGATAATGTGTGAGGAGGTGGAGCATCGATCGATGCACCGCACCTGCCACGAGTGTGTATCCAAGAACATGCAGGCTTCCCCATCCGTCTCGAATCAACCCAAACGCAAATAGAGATAAGAGGTAGATGGAGAGATGGCGGTGCGGGGGTGGGGAAGTGATGGCACCGCCGCCCTACTCGGAGCTTTCGTCGCATCTTGGATCGCCAGAGGAGTGCGCGGAGTCGTGTGGGTTAAGCGAGGCAGCGTACTATGTTCAAGNGAACGTGCCGAACGATAATGTGTGAGGAGGTGGAGCATCGATCGATGCACCGCACCTGCCACGAGTGTGTATCCAAGAACATGCAGGCTTCCCCATCCGTCTCGAATCAACCCAAACGCAAATAGAGATAAGAGGTAGATGGAGAGATGGCGGTGCGGGGGTGGGGAAGTGATGGCACCGCCGCCCTACTCGGAGCTTTCGTCGCATCTTGGATCGCCAGAGGAGTGCGCGGAGTCGTGTGGGTTAAGCGAGGCAGCGTACTATGTTCAAGGCAAAGGTGTTGTTCATCGAAGCACACTTCGCGAAACCAGCGCGACTGACGGACATATATATGAGAAATAGTTGAACATGATCGGTACACGGGACAGTAGCAGAATGAAGTCACAAGCAGCGCGAGGTTCTTTACCGCTTGGGCGTGGACGAACTTTCTCCGTGCCATGGTGTATTATTTCTGTTTTTGGGGGACGTTGCCAAGATTATTTCCCCTTTCCCACCTTTCTTGTACCCCCCCTCGGTGTTTGCCATCGGGTTGGGTTTTCGTCGCTTGGCAACGACGTTGTAAAACAAGCCAACTCACTTCGTGAACTCGGCAACCAGGTTACCGGTTTTCTTTTTGTCCATTTTTTTTTTGGCGGTAACTATAATGGCGGTCGAGTAGATCATGTTGTGCGGGGTCGAGAACCCTCACTCCGCACAAGGGGGATGATGGCACCACGTTGTGTTGAAATGGTCAAGCACCCTCGAGGCAGTTGCACAGTGCTTACAACTGTCTCAGGAACTGAAAGCACCAGAAAATAATTTAAGTCATACGCAGCTGTCATCCGTACGCAAGGAAGTGAGCACAAGATGCCGAACACCCTTAGCAGGATGCAGCGCGCCCTTCGTGCGACTCGCCGAATGCCTCACGGCGCTTCGCGCTTGGTGATGTGAGAGCCTGGTCCGGTGAGAACCCGACGTGCTCCGTCCCGGCTTTGTAGGGATGCGAGGTCAATGGTCTAACGACTACGGCATGCATGACAATGAGTACACCCCCCCCCCACCTTTATTTTGTTATTCTTCGCAGATAGGACTTACTTAATACGTGTTTCTTTTGTGTTGGTCTATGTACATGAAGAGGCAGATTGTTCAGCATGCGGGAAATACACAAGGCACGCTCTGTACACTTGTTGTTGAGACTTTTCCTACAAACTTCGGATGGTACAACAAGCTTGCTGGCGAATTGGAATGCATTCCATATAGGAACTACTCCCCGGTTGTCCACCCTAAGGTGCTTCTGCTTTCCTCTACCTTCATGTGACTGCTGCAATATGACGCACATATGACCCGGTCAAGAAGGTTTCTGCAACACGGCCTTTAGTCCCACTAATTGTCGCTTTTTCTCAATTTTGCGACCGCTAGTCGCTATTGAGGCTCCTGGTTCAGCAACCACTGGTCGCTAAACCGGGTTTAGGGATATACCCTGAATAGCGACCATATTTCGTCGTGACACTAGGGGTCGTTAAACCGGGGCCCCCACTGTACGTGCATACCTTTCTTTCTCGGGTCCATTTCGACGAAAAAAAATCGCTTCAAGAAAGGTGTTGCCCCTCTTTGGGTAGTTGGCTTGTGACCACGGAAGGCGCCAATTACACCAGTGCTATTCGGATTAGAAGTTACTGAGCGGAGACAGACCTGGAACGGTTTATTGTCATGTGGAGACATCAACATGTGTTCACACGAAGGTATCGCTTCCCACAATGTTTGTTGCACACGTGGTGTGTTTCATGATAAAGGTAGTTGGAATGCGCTCGTTACGCGTGGGTGCTGTTGTTGCACACCAATATTTTTCATTTCGAGCCATTGTCCAATTTAGAACCGTCTATAACATACAGCAACGTGTTCGTCTCGAAGAACGAGTGTGCCGTGTCTCGAACACGGCATTGCAGGCCCAAGCAAGCAGGTGACACATGCAGAGGACACACTGGTGGCCAGAGGTAGGTCAGGTTGTCGGTGGGTTGAGAACCGACCACATGCTTGGGGGAGGGAAGGCTGCACCCCAAAGTGGGGCAAGTATTCCCGCATCTCGGAAATTGGCGATCATCCAACTGACACGGTGGGCTAGCGCAGCAAAGACAAGAGATATGGACTCAAGGCCGTTCCTCCTCTCAACCTCCACACTCAAACCTTGGCAGGTTGTCGTCGGTGAACAACCTACACCTCTGGGCGCCAGTGCAGGCGTCGCGACAAAAAGCCCCAAGACAAATACTTCAAATTCCTAAGGACTTGGATACCATTCCGAAAACGTATAAACACATGGTATTGATGTGTTCTACCTCCCTACACATAATGCCGGCTGAAATTGGAATCAATTACACGGGTCGTGTCGCAACTCTTCTCGAACAAGGTTGTCTAGTTTCGTCGCTCATTCCCTCGAGCAGACAAATACTGGTAGCCACACGGTGTACGAGCGAAGACAACCTCTCTTGGCAAGAGCGAAATCCTTTCTTCCAGTCTTTTCCATTCTGTCCAGCTACCTCCGTCTCTCTCTCTTGTGGATCACTGGCAAGAGAGACCGACGCGGCTGTCAGGCACGTGGGAAGCGCAAGGATCGACTTTCGTGGACGGGGGGCTGTACGGAATAAACTCGACGCCCGACTCGACGGTGACCTTGCCCTTGCTCACGTTGCCCCGTCCTGCACCGTTGACTCTGCCGGCATTGATCCGGTCGTCGCGTTCCAGGAGGCCAATGATGCTGGTGACGTCTCGTAACTCGACGGGGATTTCCGGCATGGTTCCCTGTGGATTGTGTGGATCAAGCAGGGAGCAGCAGAGTTCGGATACGGTCTTGTAATGCTGCTGGTCCTCGCTTTTGCACCCTTTTCCACACAACTCAATTCAGAAAATGTATCATACCCGGTCCCCCCTACATACCTTGCCTTCAATATTGTCTTCTTGTGTTCAGCAGGCCCCGGGGAAAACATGAACGAGGAGTGAGTACGGCACGCTCGGATATCATGCTGCGAGCCACGATCGTTTTCGGAAAGGGAAAGGCACTGCCAACACCAATCCTAGCCTTGCGCCGCATGTTACTATACCTTGTACACATAATTCGAATGCAAACACTCACCGCCCAGAGCGCCTGTTCGATAACCTCCTCCATGGCGGTCGCTCGCCGGTACAATAACGCCACGAAGTGGGTCTGGCACCCCCGGCTCACCCCACCGTTACTGAGCCCCCATTTATTGAAAGACGAGCACGGGTATCAAGAACAAAAACTGCTTTTGTACCATAAGCCTGGTTGACCGAAGACAGTTCAGATTGCGAGGGACTATGCACTCAATCCCGAAGGAAACGTCTCCGGGTATTTACGGTGTGAGTTTTCACTCTCCAAGGTTCTCAGCTAGTTCTAGAATGCAAGCCATCGCGCAAAGTAGGTACCATGGTGTCCATGCTTCGAGTGCGCTCACCCGTCTCTTGGCGCGGTCGGAGAACAAGTTCGTCACGTCCTTGGCGGGATCGACTAGAGACATGACAGCCGTTGAGGCGCCCCAACTCACGAGGGTGGCAACCGTTCTGGCCACCATGGAGCATGCGTCGTTCATGCTGTCCATCGGATCTTTGGACGAACAAGAAGCGGGTCCAAGGAGCGTCTGGTCGAGCATCACGTACATGCTCTTAACGGTGCGGATCATCCTTAACTACTCGCGACGGAGTTGGGGAGAGAGGCGTTTGAAGGTCAACTGGATGACGCTCAGAGGAGGGAAAGAAAGACCCTGCGAAGAGCGACGACAACGGCATCGCGATATGCCATGTGGGCAGACGCACACGCGCACAGCAGAGACGCATCGAGAGGGAGAAGCTGGAGGAACAGGAGGAGAGGGCGAGGACAATTGTAGACTTAAGAGAAAGAAAGAACAGGCATACGGTAGGGGAACAGAAGTGAAAGAAGATCAGAGAGTCAGAAGCAGAGAGAAAACGAGCGGCAGCTAAGGGAAATGGAGCAGTGCCCTACTTCGGCCCACTCTCTGAGATCGTTGGGACGGGATGCAACACTTTAGAAAGAGATGGAAGTCAGCAGGAGATGCAGCATGAGACGTACCTGTTCTAATTGACAAGTCGAGAACGTGTGACGTGGCAAACACAGCGAAGAAATGAGACAAATGTACAGCGAATCCGTAGACTATGATAGGTGTTAAGCCGACTACAGTACTTGACTCGATCATGACTACTGGTAAATCGTGTTGTGCCGAACGCTGGAGGTTAGTGCCCAAAGGGTTCTTGGTAGACAATGCCCCACCAACGTATGAACAATCTGCCACAATGAATGATTGGCGAGTTCAAGGATTGCATCGATGTATGCATATCGGTAAACGTCGCCAAGCTGCGAGAGTAAGAGACCAACGCTTCGACGTGGACACTGCGTGTGTCCAGTTTCGTTCTGTTTATCTCGTGTGTTGACCTGGGAGATTGTACACAACGACCAACTTCTCTCGACCAAATATTGAGCTCTGGGACTTCTGCCAAACGAACTATCGCATCAATGCGTCCGGACCTACTCTTCTCACCTCTTCCATAATCTCCATTGGGTCGCGAGGTTCTCTAACGGTAGAAAGGCCAGGTGCTCGACAGCGCAGGTTGGCCAAGATTTTGCTCATGATGCCGCCCTCTTGGCAGGCGTGCCGGAGGGCCTCAGCGGAAAAGTACAGAACAGGAACGGAGACGACGACCGCCGATACGCTTGCGACAACCATCGCGAGGTTCGCAACGATCCACGCCCACACGAAAGCCCCGACAGCGAAGACATTGTTGAAGGAAAACATGGTGATTCACAGGCACTGAAGTTGTCGATCAAGGTTCTGGTGGTAGACAAGCTCTCTGGTAGCTAGAGCTGTGAATGGTGGAATGAATGAGAGGCTGGGGGGAGTCGTGCTCGACTTCGGTGGAAGTTGTGTTTGGCCAATGGGTGATCTGCAAACAGATATTAGGCCGAGGAGTTGACCCGACTGGCCTTTATCGAAGGCATGAATTCACACGTTCTTTTTTTGTCTTCCTGCGGGAAAGGTAGCTGCATTGTTTAAGGGAAGATATTCGCTGCCATGTTCTCCAATCACTCTGCATCGATGCGAAGTTGGGCACACCCCTCTCCTCTTGCTCTGTCATACAATGGGTAGAGTATTTCGTTGCCGCCCGCGACGGTAGGCATGACTTGAGAGGGCCAACTCATAGTCTAGCTCTTCCATTCAAGGACTAGATCTAGACTATTAGTGAACGTTGACCACAGTACTGGGTAATTAGAGCATGAACCGAGCTGACTTGGAGTGACCTGGGATCGTTGCCCTGTCTATACTGCTGTAGTGAAGGAACAGTCACCCACACTAGCACCACATCGGCCCTTTTGCCATCCTGTTCCACCGAACTTGGTCTGTGATGGGGCCAACCTCGCCATGCGGAGTTGCTGGCGAATGGTCGAACGTGCGCGATCCTCAAAGGGCTGGTGTGGGGTCCGACCGAATCGGTCATCTGTTGTACACACTCCGCCACCCGATGTCCTAGGCTACTCGCTGCACAGCAGCGCGCTCTTTTCGTAGCCCTACACATCCCCGTTCGCGGTGCCGCGGGCCAGCAGGTAGGGGCCATACAGAGGCTGCGACATGAAAGCGTAACATCGAAACCTCAATCTCGGTGATATGAAGGCAAACGGGGGGCGATCAACATCCCATAAGATTATGATGAAGAATGAGTCTACATGTATGTAGGCACACATTACTCGACGTGCTGATGGTCTTACATGGAGGCACCAGAAAAATATTTCGCAGCTCTGAGAGGAAACGGTGAGCCGAACGTGTCTTTGTGGTGGTGGGTTGTGGGAGACAGACAAAGGCAATATATGGAGTTCAAGGGCATGGAGAAAATGATGGAGGAATCGGGCACCTAGAAACCCTTTCTAGGAACTCAACAAGATTATTTCTGCAGAAAAGATTAACTCCGTTTGGGAGGGCGTTGCAATTGTTTTGGCCTTCGGGTTCAAATGTTTGGTATGAGGTATGACGCCCTCGGCAAGGCAAAGTTGGTCGCGGATTCGTGTCCCTGGCCCATCTCCGCCTTTGATCCATGCGGAGAAAGTATCGCACGCACCTTAACTATCCCAACATGTTTGGCACTCGTCTCTCTGCCAGAAGTGAGTGACGAAACAGTTTCGAAAGCGAACGGGAGGCCAATAGTGCACAATCCGAGCGTATGGTTTCTTCTCCCCCATTGCGACAACGGGGATAATGATCTCCGCGCGTTTGGGGGGGAAGTCGTGATGTGCGTGCACCCGCAAACTATCGGCGGAAGCCAAAATCGCGTAGGGTAGGTAGGGCTCGACAGCGTGTGGTCTACCCGAAACCGACCAAAGTTCGGGGCACTACAGAAGTCTACAGCTGTAGGCCGTTGAATCTAAGTGTGTGATGATTCGCTGTGGGTGGGAGGGCAGTGCCCGGCGCAAGCCTGCTGTGCCTAGACACATCCCCCCAACAAGTCATGTAGAGGGTTCGTTGTGATTTTTTGCTTCGTGTAGGGGAAACGAGAGATGTAACGAAAAGAATGCCTGGACACGATTGCCTAGTGTACGAAGAAGGAATGCTTGGGGGAGCGTGGTATGAGACGTGGGGGGCACGTCTTCTCCCTGGGGTGCATACTGACTTGTTAGCGAAAACCTCCCGAAAGGTTCCCCGAAGCGCAAAAGCGGCAAGTGCACGCATCACGGCGGCTGGGATTCTACGTAGGTGAGAGGTATCTCATGCTGAGACAACATTGTCCCCATGGACGTCGAGCCAAAAAAGTGCTTCAAACTAGCGACGCGGGCCTCTACAACATGTCTAAAAAAAAAACAGACCTCCGAACAGCTCATATTGCCAACTGCGGCTGCACATGGCCAACCGGCAGCTGCGTAGCATCTTGGTCGTTTTTTCATTCATTTGTCCGCGAGTGACCCCATGCCCAACACCGTTGCCAAGGAGCATACAACGATACACCAACCAAAATCGGTATCATCATCCTGAGGAAACTGCTACACAGTCCATGCATGTTCCCGCCAACAGAACGAACGCAGACGAACAATTAACCTCCGTCTCCCGCATTTCTCACGAGGACTTGGGGAAGCCAGACTCTTCCGCACGTTGGGGACCCACCACTACCTTCCGAGAGACGGCAATGATCCAAATACACACCTTCACACCGAGGCAGCGAGTGCAGACAAAAAAGACGAATTGTCGAAATCCAACACGAGCTGTGGTCGAAGAGAAAGGAACAGCAGTGCGAAAACGGATCAGCCCATCTACGCAAGCAAGCTAAGCATGAGACTAAACCGACATGTCACCAGTCTTCTTCTCCCCCTCCTCGCCCTCCTCCCCCTCCTCGCCGGCCTCCTCCTCTTCCCCGGCATCTTCCTCCTTCCCAAGACCTCGGCGTTTCCCCTTGCCTCCGACGCTCATCTGCTCCACGGTTAAGTCCACCTGCACCCACGCCTTCTCCTCGAGTTCCTTGGCGCCGAGCTCCCGCGCGAGGATGGCCGTTTCAGACTCGGACAGCTTCGTGCGCACCAGCACCGTGTGCTGTCCGAGGGCCGTGATCGGCTTCCCGCTCCCTGGGAGCCGTACCTCTTCCTCCGTCACCTCGAACGGCGAGTTCTTTCGCAGGTAGCCGCTGACATCCTTGGCCCTGGGTTCGCAAGCACAGGGTAGAGGCGGCACCACGTTCGTGCGTGAGCACCCTGGCCTCGCCAATCGGCTGGCCCAAGGTCACAAAAATGCGAGTACGATAACGTGTGTGACACAAGATGTAACAGCCCCTCCGATATTCAGAGCTCAACTACTCCGCCGATGTCGAGAGACAAGGGTGTGTTTGGAGAGGCTGTTAAATGCGCGGACGAGACTTTGTACTTTCCATTTGGTTGCGAGGGGACGATTTCGTTTTAAACGACCGTGCTTGTTTCGCGCATTACAGTCGCCGAAATATTTGGGTTGTTGCTTGTGTGGGCGAGGGAAAACAGTCGGGGTACTCTGGTGGTGTCGTGAAGGACGCTACAGCAGTTCTCTTTGCGAAAGACATGTCGTCGGGCGTTTGCGAATAAGTTCCGGTACAAAGGCACAAAGTAGCAGGTTACGACGGCAGAGCCTGGGCACGAAGCAACTCAAGATGAGCAATGACGCGACCTGTGCTCGGTTTACAAATGATGCATGTTCTACTTCACCCAATTTTTCACCCAAAATGAACACAAAGCGACGCATGTTATCCTCCCCTGGGTGGACCTGAGGGCAGCACAAATAATAAGCAGGAAAGGATCCACCCTCTCGGCAGACGTATCACAACAAAAATCCAAGACAGCTAGAATACAAAAAAAAACGCCCCTGCATGCATTCAAAAAGAGCGTTGTCCGGGAGCAGCGAAATTCGGTATACTTGCCGTTGCGCACTGAACCGCTCAAGCCTACACTCATAGAGTAGGCCAAACACGGGACTGCCAGCTAGGACGACCAGTGCACTCGGCAGCAGTGGCAGAGGAAACGGCGGAGGCTGTCGCGCGCGGGTGGGACAACAGAGCCTGCGCTTAAATGAAAACGAGGCTGAGTGGAGAGCAGCCTTTCGGATGGCGCACGGGTCTTGTTGGTCTTTTGCAGCGTCACCTTGGAGATCCCCCATGAGTTTGGGAGTTTTTCCGCGACTACCCCCAGAGGCACAATGCCACCAAAACCAAGTCCCGGAATGAACGGGAACATGCACATGCTGGCAGATCGCTGTTGTCAAGTGGCCACTCGCAACACGGGGCACTCGTACCTTACGGCCTGACCAGGCAGCATCCCTCCTTTCCCCCCTGCCGGCATGTTTCGCTGCAAGACTATCGTAATGCCCGAGAGCTCCTGCCGGCCTCGCTTCAACGCCTTCAAGGCCGCGGCTCTCTCCTTATCCGCTGTCTGAAATTTGTGCAACATGCAAAACGCGTGAATACCAGCAGGTCGCCAACGACCGTGGTTCGCCAAGAACGGCAAAAGGAGGAACCACAAAAAACTCAGCGGCCGGCGGGGGGTCAACATGTCTGTCACGTGGTGACGACGAGACAAATATCAGACAACCAAGCAAATTGATCATTTCGAAGGCATGTACACACCTTGCCCTCTCGGCACTACACCACGACTATTGCTGCCGTGGCGTACAACCGGCCTGCGCATTCAAGCGCCTCCTCGCTTCTCTCACCCGATCGATGGCCTCGTACGCCAGCCTGTTGTCATCGGTGGCGTATATTGCTCTCTTGGAGGGGAACAAGAAGTTTCGCATGAAGCCCCCGCGGATTTCCACGTACTCGCTCCTGTAGCCCGTGCCGCTGACGTCGTCGGTGAGGATCACCTTCACGGTACTGCGGGTGACGGACGCAACATACACGCAGTTTCGAAATCATATGTGCGTTCTTCTTGGAGGTACAAAACAGCGGCAGCAGCTCTTTTCAACAATATTTACAGTGTGGAAGAACGTTGAAACACGTGCGCTTGTTTGCCAAGTCCACGTGCTACAAACGGGACTCACTACTGCTAGTTTATACAACCTCTTTCAAAACGGTAGGGGGGCCTGCGGCTCGCTGCAAATACTCGTGTTGAAGTACAGCGGCAGTACACCCCGGCCAGCACGCATGCTGCTGTCGTGGACACGCGAGGTAGCCGTTGGGACTCGAGCCACCCGCACAGCAATAACGGAGGAGGCGGAGAGATGGCACAGCCCTAAACTGTCTTTAAAAGCTCGATTGCCCCACAACCAAGTGGGCGTGGAAAGAACCCGATAGGTACGGAAAGCGCTCGACGACATGTTTCCAGAACCACCATTGTTGGTGTTACAGCAGCCTCGCTCTAGGCAGCCCACGGACGGTGTATGTAATGATGCATGTCTGTTTTCTTACACTGCTGCCGAGCGAGATCTCTCGAACCAGGTGAACGTCCATAGGCTCGAAAGGTTTGCTGGAATTTCGCGTCTCCTTTGCGGTGTGTTTCACGGGATACATCACCATACCATCATGCCATGCAAGAACGACTACAAGAGTAGACCTATACCGCTGTTGGCGCGGGTGAACTCATAGGCATGGAGGACCGCAGAATGAAAAAATGCGGCACAACCTCTACAGGAGAGGAGCAGCGAGCGGAGAGCTGCAATGGCTGCCTCCCTTTCAAGGAATACCCACCCCAACCCTTACAATTCCATGCTGCAGGCGCATGGGTGGTGTATGGTGCCAGCCGCGAGTATCTCATGCGATATCAAAGTAATAGTGTACAGCAGTTCCGCAGGTAGGAGTCATGTGCATGGCTGTGTACGAAAGACTTACCCGAGCTGACGACGACCTCGGGCGCTTGTTGGCAAAAGCGCGGTTCGCCGCTCTGCTGACTTCACCCATAACAAGGGCCGCGCTCTTCGTAGCAGCAACGACATAATGCCTTCCTGTTAGCAGCAGTTTAGGTGTGGCTGGAGTGCATCAGGCAATGTGGTGCACATCCACTGCACTGACTTTTGACATCTCAGTGAAGGGGTTCTGCGAAGGAGAGGATTCTACGGGGGGGGCAAGACAGATATGGGCACGACTGCTGTCTGTGTCCCTGCCCTGTGGGAGCCGCAGCAACAGGTATAACACGTAGTCGGCCAAGCTCACCGCCGGGGAAGAACGGTGTTTGACCATGTGAGTTATCCGCGGCTTAGTTCATAGGCGTTGGTGTTACAGCCCTGCGGCTTTTTGGCGGAGCTCTCGAAGTACTGACTGTGGCATGTACTCGAAAAGTCGGATATATCGCAGCAGCGACATTCTGGAAATCTTCGCTGAAAGACGATGCAGTTGTAGGTATCAGCTGTGCACGCAGCAGCAGGCAGCAGGCAGGAGCTTATTGAGCAGGAGGGGCACTCGTTACTCCACCAGCTACGACGAACAACTGCGCGTGTAACTTCCTCGGGTTCGCAATGGCTTATTCAATCTTTCGCGACTGCTGTGTAATGTCTGTGACCGGTCAACTTGAGCATAACAAAGCCCCACTGCTCTGCCCCTGCAGATCCTCTCAACAAGTTATTTTTGCCACACTGCTGTGAGCATACAACGAACAGCCGGGAGAGTAGTCTACAGCAGAAAATAGCAGGAACCATGCAGTCAAAGATAAAGTGGAATGAAATAATTGGATGCGTGCGCGCCCGCTTTTGTCTACATCAGCCACGCGTAGAGGTCTGCTTCCGAGCGAGCGAGGCCCGTTCGTCTCTGTTGCTCTACAATGCATAGACTCTGCATACATGGTGCCAACGTTGGCAGTTGCAACACCTCGGCTACCCCTGCTCCTCTCCTCGTTCCTCCCCTGTCTTTCGCGTGTATTGAAACACATGTACAGCAGTACTCCGATGTATGTTTTGATACCGGTATGCATGTGCATAGCCGTCTACAAATTGGTACTCTGCGAATCGAACTCCGCTCTCCTCTTGCGTGTTTTGAAACACGTCTGTTTTTTGATACAAATCCTATGCATGATGTGAACCAAACTCCACAACTCGTGCGTGAATCGATGTAGGGCTCATGTAGATGGCCACCTGGGGTTGGTTGCTGTGTCGGCACGACGAGAGGGGAGAAGCGGAGACTGCGGCGCGCAGAACAGACACCGCTCTTTGAAGCAAGGGTGGAACCAAGCAACACAGATGGCAAAACGGCGCAGCGGTCGTTCGTCGTCAGCGTGAAGTTGTTGGTTTTGCCGTCAGGCCAACAAGGCAAGGTTGCACAGCAGCACGTCGGAAGAAGCCACCAAAATCACCAATCTGTTTGCAGCGTGTCGGTACACAACAGCAGCAAACAGAGGTGCCTAATACCACATGGTCGATCGAAACTGGTGAGAATCAATTATATAGTGGGGTCCCGGAATACAGTAATGCCGGTGCGATCCCGCCGATTTCACCAGCACTAATAGCAGGCAACCGGCACTACTTAAGAGTACGAAATGACTTGAATATTCCATCTGTGCCTGACGATATCACCGGCACTGCTATTCCGGGCGACCGCCATTATTCGACCGGCATTCTACCGAGACCGCTACTAGTATAGTGGGTCGCCATCATGTCGGAACGAAGACGATGCACCACCCTACCCTGCTGGGGGGCACGTATCCATTGCACACAAATCCAACACCTATCCACGGACAGCAGTGGCGCATGCACTGACCCACTCAACCGGCATACCGTTTGTGAGCTTGTACCAGAAGCGCAGGTTCTCTACCCATCTTTGCCGGTTGGGTTATCAGCTGTTAAGAGCCGCATGGTGAATAGGATGCTCGCTATCGGGGGATAGACGAGCTACACCAGTGGGAGTCCCCGAATATGGCGGTAGTGGGGCAGCTGATGCTAAATGACCGCCTTGTTGGGGGCAGCCGGCTCAACTCAATGTTCAAGACAACTTGACTATTTCATCTGTGTCGTTCAAGGTCACCCGCCTTATACAGGGCGACCAATCTATTCATCAGACAGCCTTGTTCGAGGACCCCCGCTACGGTAATGTAGATCGCGATCTGTCTGACGTGAGAAAAAACACTGCCAACTTCAGGAGCGACGAGGAAGAGGACTACGACTTCGAGTACTCGGAAGAGGAACAGGAGGAAACCGACGTCGGCCTCGAGAACAGCTACTACTCAGCCAAGGCCCTCAAGGCGGAAGACCCCAAGGCTGCGGTGGAAGCCTTCCGAGCGGTATGAAGAAAAAACAACGGCCACAAGCGGGGCGGGGGGGTTGGGTACTCATGTAAAGGCATGCCGTAGTCGTTGGACCATTGACCTCGCATCCGGGACGGAGCGATATGCCGGGTTTTAACCGACCCATGCTACGTTTTACAAGAATAGAAGCTAGTTGTCGTCCTTGCATTGGCTGTGCCAAACCAGACGGGGATCACGGGGGGGGGGGGGCGGGGGGGGCGTACTCTTATGTTTTGCATGCCTTAGCGGTTA